ATAGTCAGAATATATAAAAAAAGTGTAAAACTAGTAAATTTAAAAAAAAAATCCTAAGAAGGGTGAGAAAATTACACCAGCAGTTCTGTGACAAATAAATAGTGCTTTAAGACAGACATGTGGGTATCAAGTGTAATGGAAAAGAATTTTCTCTTAAAGAGAAAAGAAAAAAACCCACAACTTACTTGCCTCAGGTAATCTCTTGCAGTTTGGGGTATCTGTTCTCCTAAAAAAAAAAATTCAGTCTGTCTGCAGAGACTTTAAGGGCTTTTTCAAGGTCAGCACTCAACAATTTAGGGAAGGCCAATTCCTCTTTTTTTTTTTTTTTCCAAGGGACCTGTTTCTCATTTATGCTATTAAATGTCATCTACTCTCATTTTAAGATCCCCGAAGCAGAATGCCTGAACTGTGTAAAGGGACTTTAGTGAAAGTGAGAGTCAGGCCAAAGTCTTAACAGCTCCAAACCCGCAGCGCTGTGTGAGAAAGAGCTGCAGTGATCAGGCTCTTCTTGGAAAACAGGCATGGGGGAACTTCCAGAGATTGGGAGTTCAAGCTCAGTTCAGATAAACATCTAACAGTGCTGGTGTGCTTCTGAGGCTGCCCTCCACAGCACCTGAGTCTACAACATTAGCTGGGGACAAGGTGCTCTCTTGCGATTTCAGCTACTTCCCACTTCCAGATCATCTAGAAGTATTTGACCAAGGCTCTTTCATCCCACAATCTGTAAGCATCACTGAAATGTAGGCAAGGAAAATCTCACAATGTCCTGGGAAGTATGGAAGGGGGTTTTTTAAATTCTTTTTTTAATCCTGCACAGTATAACGATTATCAGTGTTCTGAACAATTGGCCCCATTTATCAATAGAAGATAGGTCTGCTCTGTAAACTTATGTACACCAAGTGAACAACATCCCTGGGAAGTTCAAAGCGGCAGCATCAGTAATGAAGCCTTAAAGTGACAGGAGAACTTATTGTGACAGAGCTGAGAAAGAGCAGCTGTCAATGAAGTCTGAAGAATCCCAGCTCCCAGCCTATCTGTCCCTCAGTGCACGCACTTCCTGCCTTAGAAGGTTAATATTGAGCAGAAGACAGTAAGATACAGCTTCTGCTGTGCCTAAGCTGGGCTTGGCACTGCTCTCTGATGGACTCCTTGCCAGCAAACAGATCCAAAGCGCAGCATGCTCCTGCCACATCCTCTCCAGTGAGCTATATCTGCTCTCTACCTACTGGGAAGATGCAGATAATCAACTGCACTCCCTTCACTCCGAGCACAGCAGTGACTCTGCCCCTACATATGATCCTTGTGCTTGTTCAGATTTATTTTTTTTTTAATGTTCTTAAACCTCTGTCTGGCAAGGCATGGTTTATTAGAAGCAGATTTCTCTTCAACTACTCAGTGTGTCAGTTTTACAATTCCTAGGTGGTGTAATTCCTGGAAAATAAAGAATGTTCTTCATCCAAAATTTTGGATGAGTCACAGTAGGTTTACTTGTTTTGGTTCACCCTTAAATGAAGCATAACTTTCTATATCTAAATGATGCTCTGGGTTTTTTTGTTTCAGCTGCCTGTTAGCTCCAAATTTCTTACAAGCAATAAGACTTTTCTAGCAGATGATGCCCACCAATTGGGCTCAGCAGCCAAAGGCAGCCATCGCATTTTCACAGGACTGTGAATTGCATCAGGAAAACGACACTACTACTTCCTAAGCTTGATCCCGTGGCATTAAACTAAACAAAACTCCAAACAGGTATCTTTGACACCTCTTCAGTAACCCATCGCAACACAAAAAAACACCAGGTTCTCATCTCTCACAAAAGAGCTTTTACCAAAAATTGCCCTGGCTGCATGTAGAGGTCACTTGAATTCCCAGAAGCTACAGGGAAACTCAGGCAAGACTGAGCGCTGCACCTCCTCTTCCATGCAGCAGAGAGGACAGGTGAGAGAACAAAGGCCCTATGCTCATCTCAGTTTAATTCATCATAATAAAGACATAGAAAAACATCTTCAGAGACTCTACAGAAATGCTTTCAGTCTTGAATATTGAGAAAAGCTGACCAAAACCTTTCTTACACAATGTTTCCTAATGGCAAACATCTTGACTTTTAACAAAATGTACGTTTCCAGGGAAGATAAAAAACAATCGTCACCAGCCAGTGACTTTGAACCTTAACCTTGTAGGGTATCACTTATTTTTGAAAGCAGTTTCCATAAGCACGTCTCAGATTGTCTTCCAAAGTCAGATTTGGCTGTAGTCAAGAATAACACAGAACTGTCATGATAATACTAAACTATATTACTGCTTTTTATACTCAGATAAAGAGATGTGCCTGTTTCCAGTACTTCACAGAGATAATGCTTGGTTTTTTTTCCTTTCCAAATGGTCCGCACAGAGGTGCGGTTGACACACCAGAAGGACGGGATGTCATCCAGAGAGACCTGGACAGGCTAGAGAGGTGGGCCTGTGTGAACCTCATGAGGTTCAACAAGGCCAAGTGCAAGGTCCTGCACCTGGGTCGGGGTAACCCCCAGTATCAGTACAGGCTGGGGGAAGAAAGGATCGAGAGCAGCCCTGCCGAGAGGGACTTGCATGGAAGTGTTGGAGCGGGTCCAGAGGAGGGCCACAAAAATGATCCGAGGGCTGGAGCACCTCTCCTATGAGGACAGGCTGAGGGAGTTGGGCTTGTTCAGCCTGGAGAAAAGAAGGCTGCGGGGAGACCTGATTGTGGCTTTTCAGTACCTAAAGGTGGCCTATAGGAAAGATGGGGACAATCTTTTTAGTAGGGCCAGCTGTGACAAGACAAGGGGTAATGGTTTTAAACTAAACCAGGGTAGGTTTAGGCTAGATATAAGGAAGAAATTCTTTACAATGAGGGTGGTGAAACCCTGGAACAGGTTGCCCAGAGAGGTAGTGGAGGCCCCATCCCTGGAAGCATTCAAGGCCAGGTTGGACGGGGCTCTGAGCAGCCTGATCTAGTTAGCGGTGTCCCTGCTCCTGCAGGGGGGTTGGACTAGATGACCTCTAGGGGTCCCTTCCAACCCCAAACATTCTATGATTCTATGATTTTGTTTAATGATTTTCTAAAGGCAGCTAATGGCCTTTTTCGTTGTATTTTCATTCGTGTCCCCTAAAGACCATCCTCCTATTCCCCCAGCTTTACAACGTGAAAGAGGAGGTTAAGCGTGGAAAGTATTATCAGATTTTGCCTTTTCCTTCTTCATGACAGAATTCTTCCACCATTTCAACAAGTGCTGTGCAAGCACCATGGGGACTTCAGCATAAGACTGATGACACTCACCCTGCATCCTACACTTGGAGTAGATGAATGAGTCCCTGAAGGACAGATTTTCGGATGCAATTTATGCATCAAAATAAGTCACCAGCACTAGCTCAGAAATACACTGAAGCACAGTCTCAGTTTTGAGGGACTGAAGTGCCTTCTTTCAACGCCACAGTCTGCATGCTCAGACATGTCTACAAATACAACTGCAGTTGCTGAGCTATCAGAAAAACTCTGGAGGGCAGTCACTGCTCTCTTTGAATATCCTATCCTAAGCACAGGGGGAGAACACTTGCATTTCTGATCCCATTTGCTTTTGGACAGTATGGCCTCCCTGTCCTTTGGTCAAATTTTTAAGGAATTTAGGTACCTCATAAAAGCATGACCCAAGGAAGCATGTGGGAACTTAAATTCGGTGATCTCACTGGAAGGACTGTTTCACGGGAAATTTTAGAACATTTAAGCTGGTCCTGAATCGGAAAGAAACCCTAATTTTGGAATATCAACTTTTCCTATAAACTGGAAATCCCAAATTCTATCTACCTTCAGTCTTAAATACTCCCCCCACAAAGGCCTGAAAGTAATGTAGAACTCCGAAATGACAACCAGGGCAGAGAACAGCCTGCAACAATTATCAGCCCATTCAGCACTTGCACAAACCTTCCGAGAAGTGTAGGAAAAATTAAATCCGCTTCCCCAAGGACGATGACAAAAACAGCTAAAACAGGCCCAGACCCAGCATTCCTGATGTGGGGGGGAAGGCTGCTGGAGATGAAAGGCAACGCAACCAGTGTTCCGCTTGCCGCCATGTCTCTCTCCTCCTCCACACGGCTCTTGCCAAAAAGAGGGGGAATGGAGCAGAGGTACAGAGGAGGTCCAGGCATACAGAGAACATGGTCACTCACCAGTGAGAAGGAGCAGCTTGCTGTACCCTGAATTAACTGAAGATGATGGTCTCTAAGGGAGTTGCCTTGACCCTGGCTCCATATTTCAGACCCCATCAGTCTGCTGTCATAGGCACTGCTTAAACTTAAAGCCAGTCCTCGATTTGTCTCCAGTCTGGAATTTCCGTATATTGAGGGGCTGAAGTTTACACACATTATAAACACTTCCTTTAAATGGTTTGTGAGCCCTCACTTGTTCTGGCAGTGAAAGAACAATGTTTGTAAAAACGTATAAGTCGTACACGTTGTAAATAGTCAGTAAACACGGTTCCTTGGACTCTCACAGACTCCTCAGAGCCTGCTTGCTCTAAAAAGTACAGAAGATACAACAGGACAGTAACACACCAGCACATGACCTTAGTACAATCAAGGTGATTTAAGACTCCCATTGCAAGCAAAAACTTGCTGAAATCCAGTAGAGAAATAAATATAGCTATTAAAAGAATGGCTATACACACACAAAATGATTCCCATAAGATTCAAAGATTTTGATTTGAAAATAAAATTCAAGACAAAATCCTTTAAAGGTACTGTCAGTTCTGAAGAAAGTAACCTCTGGTGACTGTGGTCCCAGAGGAACAGGAGTCAAGGGTCTGACTGCAGGGATGTCTACCAATCTTCAGAGAGATTTGGATCAGCCCCCAAAGCAAGCAAGCAAGCACACAGGGGAAAAAAGAATACCCAATATAAAAGCCTCAATATAAAAAATCCCAATACAGAAAAACCTTCTGAATATGACAGGCAAGGAAATCTGAAGTAATTACTTTGATCATACTCACAGGAAGGCAATCAAAGGAAGTATTCTGAGCTTTTCAGTAACAAACCTGCTGCTGACGAATTCAAAATGATGACTCCAGAAAATAGAGGTGTTCACTGTACAGAAATAGAAAATAAAGAACATTGTGTACCAATGGTATAACTATTGTGCTTCTCTTAATTTTACGTTGCTAAAGTCTTCCTTAACAACACCCCCACAAAGGTTTTTTTAAATTATGGAATAAAACAGAAAAATTTTGCAAGAGACTGACAAAACCCGCTATCAACAGCTCTATAAATTAGAGTTTGACAGAGCAGACTTTGATTTCCTAAAATCTCTCAAAGTCACTCACTAAAACCTCTTTAAGAAATGAAGCTGTTACAGGCTAAGCTGAACATTCTCCTGTGATTAGTAAGAGACTAAGCAAAGCATCAGACCAGCGGTGAGTTTTCATAACAGAGCAAGGTTTCCAGCATACCTCCCTAAGGATCTATACTGAGGACTGTAGTATTCAACATATTCATAAAAGCACTCTGCAAAAGCAGATGAGCAGTGAGAAGACAAAGTCTGTAAATGATACAAAACTATTCATTGTAAATTCTGTGTTCATAAGTAAAGGTATAGAGGAAAAAAACCATTATATCTGTATCAGTGATCAGCTCTAAATGAGCCAGTAACACTCAGCAAAGACATTTTGGAGCCTGAGGAAGAGGTGTCTGAAAATATTAGCTGACTGGCCAGCAGCTGTCAAAAGGCAAGAATCATTAGGGAGAAGTCTAGGTTCTATCTAGGTCACACGTATAGATATACGGTATACCTATGTTTTCATTTTTGCATGAAGTTCTGGTTACCCTTTCTCAAGACGAGCCCAAGGAAAGGGGTACCAACAATGATCGGAGCTATGGCACAGTTCCCACCTAGGAGACTATCTGGAGTACAACTCTTCCATTTGAAAGAGAGATATGATTGAGGCAGGGTATGAGAAAGATCCTGAATGGTTTTTAAACAGTAAATGTTGTTTATTGTTGTACAAGAACTGTGATTCAAGAAGGAATCAAAAAAAATAAAAAAATGATGGAGGACAGTTTCATCAGCTATGAAATACAATAGTCTGGATGTGCCCTCTAGCTTAGAAAGTCCCAAAGCAGATTGCCAGACTCTGGGAGAACACATAAAAGGAAAAGCCATTCCACACTCATCTGCTTTCTCTTGCTTTACTATAAGTGACTGTCTCAGTGTCAGTCAGAGATAGGACACTGACCTAGATGGACCCTTGCTCTGAGCCAGCATGACAACAATTCTATAAATGTCAATTAAGAGAGCAGAACAAATGAGCTGCCACCCTTATACAAAGGCAGTGCAACAATTTGTGGGTGATCTGGTAGAAACTTACAATGGATACCAGGAAATACAGTAAGAAGTAAGTAAGAAGAAAGAAGTAAGCTTCATTGAAATGGGGTATTTCTTCCCTGAAGAATCACTCTGCATTCAGTTACCACTTGGTAGTATACAGACCCACCAGACTAAAAATAAAAACTGTAAGCTTTCTTCAGACACTCTCACATAGTCCTTTCTCTTTAGACCCAAGGACCTTCTCACAGAACATCCTGGTGCCAACAGAGGAAACAGATTCTTTAAAAATCACTGAAGCCTATTTCCAGTAATTTAAGATCATAGTGTGTGAGGCCGTTGCTTGTATCTCTGGTTATTCACTGGGAACTCACAGACTTTTGAGGACTCTTGATGTAAATAACTGATTAGCAATTTCAAAAACAATTTTATGGTCTGGTCTCTAGGTTTTACAGACACCTGTCAGTGATTTATATTATTGAAAACTTTCGGCTGGCCAAAGCCAAGATTTTGGTTTATTCCATTAGAAGTTTCAGGATAGATACAAAAAAGATCCCAGTCCCCTTTTGACGCTTAGCTTTACTGTGCATATACCACATAGCAGAAAAAAGCAACGTAAGAGGACAGCCCTAATCATCAAGGTCTGAAAAGAGCAACCACGAGCTTCAAGTCCTCTTCCTCTCACTGGTAACTCCTGCTTAGAGCGAGAACAGACTGGGCTCCAGCTCACGAAGAGCATGAAAGTCCTTCCAGGTCACTGAATTCATTCAAACTTTCTCACTAACTTGAAAAGCTGACTTTTCTATTGTTTAGTGTGCCCCACTTGACTCTCAGCAGGCATAACTTCATGACATTCACATCATGCATTAGGAGGATCCTGGGTCTAAAAGTCTTTGGCTGCTTCAGACCATTTGCTCTCTTTCAATCACTTTGAGATCTTTTAAAAAATTGAGACAACCCCCAAAATATTTTCGTTTTCTTTCCCACAGTCACAAAGCCCTCTTCTACTATTCTCCTTGTATTTCCTCTGTCCTAAAGCAACATTTTTCTGAACTGAGCTCAGCATAATTTGTAATATCAATAAAATGACCAAAATATGCTCTCTTGCTATTTGCTATCCAGAAGAACCTCTATCACACCACAATTCCATTGTGAGATGACTATGAACAATTTAACAAATAGGAAATTTCCACACAACTTAAACATGAAGGAAGTTCAGGTCCAGGTTGAAAACCAGAATCCATATATCTAAACCCTCCAATCCAAGAAACATCACTAGCATTTGGACACATTTGGGGCTGTAATCTTCAGTGGTAAAATTGGCACAATTTTTACTGATTCTTCAGTCTTTCAAATTCCCCTGACCATAAACATTGGGTTCGTGTTCTGCTTTCATTCATGCAATGGCATTAACAGCATTGCAGACCTAGGCACACACCCAGCACTGCACATTCAAGCACTCAATGGAATTCAATTTCCAGCTAACATAGATAGTAGATTCTCAGCTAACATAGGTCAGTATCCATTAAATGCAATTTCAGTAACAGAAATGCTTTTATCGGAAGTTCTTGAAAATCCATTTATCGGAAGTCCTTGAAAATCCTTTTATCAGAAGTCCTTTGTGGCTTAAGAAATGAGGAAGTTGTTACTAATTTGATTACGGAAACTAGGGAAACCAAATCACATCCAAGGTCATTCAGAAGTTGACCTGTGGCATGTAAAGGTGTTTTTTTGATTAAAAGTATATGCACATACACACAAAGAAAAGCATGATTTTACTCCCCTCTACTCTGTTAATGAATTTGGTTCCATTATACCAGCTAGCTTTGAATGCAAATAAAGTTATGGAGTCCAGTTACCAAAACTATGTGCTTCTCCATTTCATCTAATAGCTCAACAGCTAGGGCTGTGACAGGGTTCAAATCTCATGTCTTCTTGCAAGGATTTTAGCCTACATCTTCCAAAGGACACTCTAGCACTAGGGTATTCTTCCACATCCTTTCTCTACCAGGACTGGTGCTAAGAGTATAAGGGGAACTGTAACACACTATAAAGGTTCAGCTAGCTCCATGTCCTCTCTCTGGCAGTGGCCAATATCAGATGCTTAGGGTAGAACATAAGAACAGTGAAAGCATATAACGATGCTTCCCACAAATACTCTACAACAGCTTGCGACTTCCAGAATGCCTGAGTCAAAGGTGGAATCTGTGTATTTACAGATCTCCATGGCAGCTTTTTTCCATTATTATTTCCAGTAGCTGCCAGCACTCAGCAAAATCCCATAACAGAGAGTCCCACAACTTAATTATGTGCTATGTGAAGATATAGTTCACTTTGGACAAGTAATTAAACCTTCAGACTGACATTAGGACTCAGCTATGCCACTTCCCAGCTGAAGGCTCACTCACCTAATGCACAGTTAGGTGTGGTATGCACATAGGAAGTATTCCTCATTGCTTCACATATAATGGAGCAATCCCAAATTATCCAACAGCAAGGTGATTAAGAAGCTGTTTTGGAAATAGCACACCTGGGTTTCAGTCCCAATTACATATTTAATCATTTAGGAAAGTGAAATAACATCAGTAGGAGAGAGTGGGAGCACCATAAAGAATAGTTGAAGAGTGCACTTTACAGTTCTTTCAGAAGAAGATAAACCAATCTACCTATTGGGTTCTCAGTTTGTAATCTATTAGATAAAAGGATTCCTCCTCCAGTCTTAAAAAAATAGCAAACCATTTCACAAAATCACAGAACAGTTCAGGTTCTGGACATCGTTAGTCCAACTCCCTGCTCAAAGCAGGCTGCCCAGAATCACGTCCAGTTGGAGTTTGAATATCTCTAAGGATGGAGACTTCACAGCCTCCGCGGGAAATCTGTTTCAGTGTTAATCACTTACAGAAATGAAGTTTTTCCCTATCATGTCCTTTCACCAGGTACCATTGAGAAGAGTCCAGTTTCATCATTTTTGTCATCATCCCTCTCCCCTCCCATAATCACAGAGTCACAGTGTGTGACAGCCATAGAGTGGCTGTTAAACTTGAATCTCATTCCAGTTAGGAATTTTTACCCAGATTTCAGTATTGGTTCTTATGCAAATTATTTTTTTCCCCTCAAGTCAGGAAAATAAGAGCAGGAAACTACCTTTTTAAAAAATTATCTAGGTGAAGTATTTCTTTGTTTACCCATTTCTTCCAGATCTCCTTTTCTCCTTTTGATTTTTATGTTATCAGTATTGCCATGTAGTTTTTTTACTTACAAAGACATTGCAGAGAGAGCACTTAAATAAAACTTTTCAACTTTTCCTCAGATGTGCTATGCGCACAACGAAGGCTTTTCATTACAGTGTTTGGCAAACAAGTGTTGCCAACAGAAGAGGGGACCAGGAAGCCTCGAGCTCATCCATTGCTGTCTATACAGGTACCCAAGGAATTTGTTTTCTAGGATGACCTAAAAAGGGGAGGTGTGCTGTCTCCTATGAACTGCTCGCCTAACCATTTACAAGCAGTTTGTCAGTACAAAACACTGGCATTCAAAGTAAATAAAAATAGCTCCCATGCAGCAATACACTTAAGTTAGAGTTTGATTTAAAAGCTATAGTCAAAGCCCACTGACTTCAGGCTAAGCACACATTCATACGCTCTGCTGAACATGGACAGTTTGCTGTACCTATATATGTTAATATATTATTAAAGAAAGGGTTTAGAGTTCAAATGCCATCTTAGTGAAGAATGACCATTAAGGCAGAGCCCACAAGTCTTCAAGG